GTCCCCGGCCCTGCCCTCGCGCCCCCCCCACACGTTAAGGGCTGCCTGAAGCTCTCCCAGAGCTCCACACGCTGCTTGTTCCCCACCCCGAGCCCACCTTGGATGGGAACTGCAACTGTGCCACCGTGCCTGCGGCACCTGCAAGGGCTGTTTTGCTCGCCCGGCCATTATAGGCTGGTTGTGCCCCACCGGTCGCACACTGCTCCCCCAGGCAGGAGATGAGGCAGGAGCCATCCGGCTCCAGCACCCCACGCAGGGTGTGTGTGGGGGATTCGGCTGCGGCTCTGCATGGGGCTGTGTGTGCTGCTGGCAGAAATGCCTGTTCGGCTGCTGCGTGGCCACCACTGAGACGCTTCCAAGTTTTACATCCCAGCCCCGGACACTTCCAAGTTTAGCATCCCGGCCCCAGCCTGGAACGGAGCCCACAGGCATGCCACCCCACTGGCGCAGCTCACACCGCAGAGGGAGGGGTCCAGGCCCCACGGCGCTGGGGGCAGTTTAGTCACAAGGAAGGCATGTGGGTGCCCCATGGCCCCCCAACACCCTGGGAGGGGCCAGTTCGATCCCTGAGGGCCACCACCTCTCAAGTTGGAGGGTAATTAAATCCCTCCCTGCCACGTGGCATGCCCCGTGCCTGCAAACCCAGGAGCCCTGGTGCTGGTGAGGGTGACAGTTCGGTGCTCGGTGGGGAGCCCCAGCACACCCCAACCAGCCGGTGCTGGCAAGGGGTTGGCACCTACCGGTTAAAGATGTCATCGTCCTCTCCTCCCCAGCCCCAGTACTCGTTTGGAAAGCCATTGATCTTCAGGAACTGGGACTTGCTCAGCCCAGAAACACCACCGAAGTAGCCGGCGTAGGGCAGCCTGCAGGGTGACAGCAAACAGGTCAGCCCCCAGGGACAGGCAGGGATAGGGGTCAGCCCCATGGGGACACCCAGGGACAAGCACCAGCCCTCCCCTGTGTCACCCTCCCACCCAGGGCTCTGCGTCCTCTCCCATCCCACTTCCTT